GTTAATAAATATTGTAATAAATAGACATTTTTTATTTTTGTTCGCATTCACTATTTATATATACTTTTTATAAGCTTATATCAATATATATATATATATATATATATATATATATATATATATATACGCAGATATTTATATGTTTCATAATTTCAATTAGCATATTGTGTTAATTGAAGGTATAGGCACAATATGAGATTTCTTTTTAATATTTAATACTAATCATTATTATTACAGAAAATATTAGTGTAAACAATTTTCATTGTTAATATATCGCGTATAAATATTTTCATTTGATAAATAACTTCATTATTAAGAAATATTATGAAAATGGTTGTAATTTATTATAATGTAACTAAATCTTTGGCCTGAATCAGGAACAAATAGCTCCAAGGCATATTTATTTTTCCTTTCCACACTTAAATATGTTTTAACACTTGAAGGAAAGAATGGAAAGATACACCATTAGTGTGCACTCATTTTTTCGAAAAGATAAAAGTGGGATGTATGGGACTCATCACCTCAAACATGATACAATCCACTTTTTTCAAGATGGACAATTGTTAACGTAGTCTCGATTACTTTGATATGATACTTTCATTTTCAGGATCACCTATCGAATTTCTGCCGCCCATTACAAGCAGTGGAAGTTGCTGACTACAAAGACGATAGTCCTGACCACTGGCTTTCGCCCTTTCTCATTATTAAACTACAGAAAAAATGAATAAATTTTGTGTACATATATTATAAGGCCAAATAAAACCATATACATCATGTTATTATTAGTGTCAAATAGTTTCAATTGATTTTTACAAATTTATTCAGTTATATTATTTAATAAATAGCTTTAATTTATATGAAAAATAGGGTAAAACTCACAAAATTATTTCAACTTATATTCTTCATTTAATTATTTAATATATATACGATTATTAGTAATAGCATTTATAAATATAATATACTGTTATAATATATCTTATTTATTATTAATATCAATTACTCTTAATAAAATTTACACTTTTATAATTCTTTTAATCTTGATTATTACAAATATCTTATATTTAATTTGATCGCTTAATTACATATTTTCATTCGTTTGATTTATAAAATCGGCATGATTTTTAAGAATAATTTAATTCGCTGTCTACATAGTAATGTTCATCTACATTGCATTCAATGTAAAAAATATATAATCTTAGATATGAAATTGAAAATAACATAGATAGAATTTTTTCTACTTTTTAGGATCTGTAGAATTATTTGGCGTTCCAACAAATATGAAGGTAACAAATTGAAAACTATACACACGTGCATATAAAATTTATATATGTATATATGTAAATACGTATTATTGCGTATAGTTATTATTTATATAGTTAATATATTTTATAACTCTGTTATGTACGAATAAAATTTATTTTACATTATATGGAATAAAATTTTATTAATATCGGTTTGAGTGAATTGTACAAATAATAAATAAGGTAATTCAAGGAATTGAAATGATATTCCATAAGTATATCAAAACTAAACTAAAAAAGTTAATTGTACTGGTGAACAAAATAATATATTTTACTTTTAATTTATTATATAATTTAGTATTTTTATTAGATAATAATTTCAATATTTATTATTGAAATGTGTTATTATAGAAAATAATTATATTTATTATAAATTTATAAAATTTTTTAAAAATAAATGAAAGTAATAAAAATGTAATTCCAATTTATAACAAATAAATATATAAATCTACATACAATATGAATCAAAAAGTTTTTATAGTTGAATTTTTTTCCACTCAGTGATTCGTATTCTTGGCACAATTTCTAGGTCATATAAATTTTCTCTTTGACCAATATAAATATTGTCTTTCAAAATCTTTCAAAATTTTATAAATTAATTAAATTTATAAATTAATTTAAAATTAAAAATTACAAATACGCGAAAAAAGTATACCATACTTATCTAAACACGAATTATATACATATTTTGTAAAAATTACAAGCATAATATTCAAAGAAAAATGAAAAAGTCAGTTTATCACTAATAGTATTCTATCAATTTTTATACATTTTGAAATAATTCCATTGACGTATTTATGGAATATTTCTATAAATTCATTCATTTTAATAAAAGGCTTTATTTAGAAAATTTTTGAATAACTTTGAAAGAAAGAATTTGTATGAAATTATTGAATTTAATAATACTACTATTAAAAAATACTTAGTTAATATTTCCTAACACAATTTTATTTACTCCTTTGTTATAAAAATATCTATCTATCTATATATACTTCTATCTTAATAATTACAAAAATAATGTTCAAATAGATACTCCAATTAGTTTAAAATAATAATCTTATCATACACAGCTTTTCATGCCACTAATAATTTATAATTATTCAAACATTTTATAAGTATTTTTTTTTACTATTATAATTTTTACTCGTTTTTCTAATTCTTTTTATCTTTTCCTAATCAAAATCTAATATCTTATAATTTTTAAGAACTCAACAATTAGTGCTAAACATTACTTATTAAATAGAATATTTTTATAATAGAATTTTCTTTCTCGTTAACTTATATTTTCATATTGAAATTACTACAGCTTCCAAAGCTTTAATAAACTTCTTCGTGCTACGATTATATTAATATTGAAATATTTGTTAGCTGAGTTATCTTATAATTAGGTATTACAAATATCTCTATCTTTAAGGTCAGAACTTATCTATTAATAGTAATGAAATTATATTAGCTGTATATAATGATTTATTAAAGACATATTTATAATACCTAATTATAAGATAACTCAGCTAACAAATATTTCAATATTAATATAATCATAGCACGAAGAGGTTTATTAAAGCTTTGGAAGCTATAGTAATTTCAATATGAAGATATAAGTTAACGAGAAAGAAACGTAGTATGATGAAGTAGAATCACGAACTATTAAATACGGTTTAATTGGGAGATGATACATTAAAGAACGAAATAATGAGATCTCTGTAGATAACCTCTATGCAGATAACGTTAACACTTTGTACAAAACTGTAATATGGGAAAACTATCAGCAATTTCTTTGTTTCTCTGCAGCCTTCCACTTTCAATTCTACAAGATGATTGTATTACCTTCGGGTAATCGAGCTCCATCGTAATCGATCTTATTTCCTCACTCTCTCGCCCTATTATAAAGAGTATTCTATAGCAAGGTATTTCTATTAAACAAATTCTTCATCGATGTTTCCCTTAAGGCTTATAGAAAATGTAAATACATTATTTAGCCTGAAGAACGTTAGTGTTATGGTAACAAAAGTCCATATGAAGAATTACATTGATAATATTAGTGGCGTACCAACAAATTTATTTAATAAAATGTTATTTAAAAAAAGATAAGTAATAAACTGTAATCTAACGAATCATGATGACGATATCAATGATATCAACGATATCATGTTTTAATTATTTACCAATTTACAAGTTATTTCAGTAATTATCGTATAAAAAAGGGAAATAGTAATTGCAATTTTCGAAACAAGAATCTTCTTATTCGAATTCAATTCAATTCATTACAATTCATATTTAATTCTTCTTGTTCATTGCATTTTTTAAAACTTTTTTGCCTATAAAATTAGTGCCTGATTCAGCTGTATGTTTATGGTTACAAAAACTTCAACACCCATATTGATATTTTAATCTACTCAAAGAAAATTTAAATATGTTTCATATAATTATTATTCAGATTATTATAATTTTATTAATCATTTTCATGTTATATATATAAAAATCAAAATATGTAACTATGATTGAATTCATACTTTACATGCAATTCGTATAAAAAATACTTTTAATATAAAATATTTTTATATGTCGGAATAACCCGATCATAAAGTTGTAATATATTTTCTAAGAAAGTTTTCTATTTTGTTCTAATGAAATAATAGTTTTCTAAACTCGAGTATTTAATCGGGCATCGGGAAATCAAGCTATACATTATTAATCATACAAAAATGAAAAACTTTCATTTCTCACTTACTATAAATATTGTTTGTGTTTATAGTAGAAAATATATAATATAAGTATATTCCAAAAAAATTTAAATACGAAAACTAATAGTAAGGAAGCGATAGTATATCTTTGCAAATTTATATATGTATAATAATATAATATATAATATATAATAATATAATAATGTATAATATATATATTATATATATTTACAAAGAATTTTGGTTTTTGTAATCTTGAGTTATTTGAGATAGTAGTATTATATAGTAATAATTAGGAATGAAATACATCATTTTAATTATCAATAAATATTTCTAAAAATATTTAGTCCATATTTTATATGTTAAAATAAACCTATATAATTTTTTATTTGGTTTATATAATCATTCACGTATATTTTATATTGTGCTATATAATCAAAATATCCTATATAATTAAAGGTTTTTTATTTCATCAAAGTAACATTAAATTAATCGGATATTTTAATGACTCGGAATATAGAATGTAAAATAACATAATTTTCTTTTAAACATATAAATATAAATGTTAGTGGTTACCTATAATATATAATTAGTTAGTAATAATCTACAATATATTGATTATTTTGAGATTAGTTTTAATTTAATTTTTTTTTAATTATATTGTATTATACTTTTACATATTATATTCAGAAGAATTTTATTCTGAAATTCCTTCTATTTTCCTCTTTGTTACTTTAACCATTGATTTAACTAATTAATCATTGTATCACAAAGGTTTTAAAATTATGAATTTGATATTTCAAAATACGTTGTTTCCATTCAAATTATAATTATATCAATTGAATTGAATTTTATAACACAAAGGATATTTCATTGATCAAATATTCAAAAAATATTCATAGAACTAAATTAATTTTCGAATATTATTATTATAATACATTATCATTTATAAATTAAATATCATTAAAAATGATAATGAAAAAAATTGTTAACAAGGACTTAATATTAGACTTACAATTTTATGATGTAGATGCTGGAGCTCCCTCTCGGTAACACGCCGTCTCGACAACTCCCGTTGCTCCCGCCTATACTGGCTGTACTTGTAGAACAAGTACATGCCAGGCAAGGCCAGGACGACGAGGGGTTTCATAAGACCTGCTCTAGCATTAGATCCTCGAGCTCTAGGTTCCGGTGGGTCATTTATCTCTTCTTGTGGATCCGGAACCTCAATGGCTATAGGCTCTGTTGCTGCCGCAGCTACACCGACTGCTGGCATCTTTCACTTGCGATATAAATAAGACGTTTACTTATTTAAAAGAATATAGTTATTTAGAAATAATATATTAATATATATATATATATATTAGTATATAAATAATATAGCTAAATAATATAGTAATAATATAAAAATAATATATTATTACGCAATTTACTTAACAATATAAAAAATCAAACCTACGTTTATTGCGAATTTGCAATAGTAACATAATTATCCACTCGAATATCGAAATGTATCTGATTAGTTGCTGAAATTAATGTCTAATGTCGGAAATTGAAGTTTAAACATATTACATTATATTTTTATTAAAATTAGATCAGTCTTTTTAAATATATCTATCTAATCTATCCATTTAATTATATTATTTAAGTGAAATTATTTCGTGATTATACAATGATTGAAAATTTGGATTAAAATTACTATAAAAGTCGAATTAATTCGAAGGTAAAAATTAGATCATAAAGTAAAATATGACAATTAATATCAAATTATTCCCAAGACAATTTTTAAGAAAATGAAATATAAAAAGTTTCATAGGTTCAGTATAAACAATAAAATTGAAAATCAAAAATATGAAAAAAATTACATAACGAATTCATAAAAATAACTTGTCAATTTAATTTAAATAATTCACAAAAGCATATTGAAGATAATAATAGAGAAATTGGAAATAACCATTAAAAACTTTACTGCATAACTAATACCGAGTATAATAATATCGTACTATAGATCGTTAATAGTACCTAACCAACTTCCTGTAGTCTTACTTGTTTTTATATATTGAGAATTTATTATGACTTTGTATAATTATATCGTCTATATTGATGTAATTTTTTCCATTAATCTTATATTTTTTAAATTATTAAATATATTGAAATTTTAATGATTATTTAATAGAGAATAAATATTTTGTTTTTCAATACTATATTATATTAATATTCTATTTCAAAGGTATAATATTAATGCTTTTTAATATATATGTAAAAATTTATAAAATATGATTTTTAATTTTATAATCAATTCAAATAAAATTTTATCATTATCATTGTCGTATTAAATTTCTAGTATTACTTATTAAAAAAAAATTAAATAAATATATGTTTTTATTTAGTAAAAAAGACATCAAATATTTTATATCCGGATATATATTTAATTACATGTTTTGGTTTATCATAAATTATACTTTTGGCTATACTAATTTTTCATCTCCTCACATATTCTTTAATTTAGTTAAATAAATAATTGCATCGAAGAACATTAACATTAAGAATATAGCGGATGAGCTTACATATATTGAACTACGATGGGAGTAAACCAAGTACCTCGCAATTGGGTATGGGTAGAAATGTAGATCTTAGGCCTATATTATGATGTGGCTTATTTTGTTGGAATAGAATAATTTGTTTCTAACCATATAAATTGAATATAAATCAAGCTATTATCGCTTCCACCTAAATATGCTGATTTACATGTATTATTTTATTTATTTATTTATTATTATTTAAAAATATTTTCATTCGAAGAATACTACTGATTATTTGTATTCATCTTATCAATTAATTATTATTGTATGAACATAATAAATATAGAAAATTAATTTTTTTCAAATTTGTTACTCTCAAAATAAGATAATAATAATTTCATAATTTAGATAAAAAATAATATTAATTTTTGTTTCTTAGTCTAGTACAAATTTTATTTTCCGGTAACTACGTGTATAAAAAATTACAAATTTTCAATAAAAATTTTCATTTTTGTAAGAAATTTTCATCATGTATTATTTTACCGAAAATTTGTTATGAGATAATTCTTATGTGAGATTATTATACAGATATCTAAAATTAATTTATAATTCAATATTAATATATAGTTAATTGGAATAAGAAAATACTTGAAATTTATAAATGTCGAACCTTTTTTATTTATTTCTATTATTATTAATTAGCTATTTAATTATTATAAATGTTTTGCTTTGCTGCATTTATTTATTAAGTATATTCAATGGCTTTTAAAAGAGCAGAAAATATTTTTAACATTCCAGTTTTTATAGAGATAAAATTAATACATTAATTGTAAAAGGGAAAACTCTTTCCAAATAATTATAAAATGTTTATCAAGCATTAACTAATTAAATATAAACTCATAAAAAATATGGAAGAGAAAATAATTATAATTAAAATTTTATGAATTCAGTATCGAAATTTTCATCAATGTTCAATACCTTAAAGCGGGTAAAAATATATCAGTTTAACTTTATCTTAAAATCAGATAAGATAGATTTTTATATTAAAAAAGATCCATTAGTTATAAATTTCTAAATTTCAAGTATTATGAATAAAATTGATCACATAATTCAATTAACTTATAAAAAAATTACATTGTGTTATTAAATTCGATTACGAAATAAGAAATATTATTCTAGCAGTTTTTTTTAATTAAATTTTTTAATATTGTAAATGTATTACATAAACACACGAAGAAATATTCAAATTATTTTCTGATACTTTCAGAATCATATACATCATATTATATGTATACTTATGATATGTATATATATATATATATATATATATATATATATATATATATATAACATATATAACATATATATATAACATATATAACATATATATATATAACATATATAACATATATATATATAACATACAATACATCATCATCATATCATATGTATACTTAAGACACAACGGAGACGCAATAAAATATTATTGTAGTAACAATTAAAAATATTTTATTTAAAAATTGTTAACAAAATTTATTGTACGATTGTATGTATACTATATTTGAAATTATTTACTTTCTATACAATAGACTAGTAAAATTCATAATTTTTTCAAATATCCCCATTTCATTGATTATATTAGTATAAAGTTATATATTTCTAATACTTTTTCGTCTTACTTTTTCAGATTCACAGTATATTAGATTTTCAGATATACAGTATATATATGTGCAATTCAGCAAATTTAAAGGAGAAAAATTCTTATACTACATTTTAAAACTGAGATAAAAACTTTATTCAAGACAAATATTTTATATTTACAATCTTTGTTGGATTTTTTAAAAATTCGATTTTAAAATATTGTTTCCCTCTTCCCTAAGTTTGTCTTGTAATAAAATTTGATATGTATATATAACAAGCATTTAATTCAGAACTCAGACAGTATATACATTTAAAAAATAAATAATTTTGCAATTGTAAAGGCAAAAGATTAAATAGTCACCTTACGATATTGAACATAATAACTGAGATTTTGATGGTTAATCATGTTCAATGCTATGAATTTTATCCTGCACGCACACGTTTGCAGTTAACTTGTAAAGGGTAGTAAAGGAAAACAGCACCGCTTCTATATTTAGATCGGGAGGCGCACACGTCTAGCTGCTGATGAACTTATTCTTAACCCCAGCCCGTTCTAAAAGTACGAGCGAGGTCGTGTACCTTCGAGCGCCTTCTCCACGTGCAGGGGATTACGTTATGACTTTTAAGTTTTACGGTTTGAAGGTGATGTACTAACTCGAGCAGTTTTTGAAATGTGAAATGAAAAATAGAGCCTATACTTTATCTACACTTGTAAGAAAGTTGATCATACTTGATATTTGGATTTTAAAATAAACATACAATAAACTGCCATGAACAGTTTCTCCCGAGTATCTATATAAACTAACGACTTATATGATTATTAATATAAACAAACGACTAAATATATTTTCAGTGACTGATAGAATAAAAATTTTAATATATAAAATTAACAAAGAAAACGTTCTTTCAATTTGACATTTTTTTTTCATAAAATTTATAAAATTAAATTTTATTATATAACATAAATTTGTATTCAAAAATATATTTTTAATTTTCTTCATAGTTCCGTATACAAACATTTTTTCCTGAGGTATATTATAAATTTATACTTTATATATATGTTATCTCTCCCTCTCCTCCAATTCTCCCCCAACTCTTTCACAATTTTATTCTTAAAATGGAAGTTATAAATCAAAGTAAATTATGTAGTTTGTATATACAGATATACTTACTAACATAAATATGCAGTAAAAATAAATTAGAATCATGTAAAATTGTAAATTAAAATTTTTTATTTTTTAAAATCATTATTTGACATAATTAGATTCATAAATTAAATTCCTGTATAAAAAGTATTAACAAATACAGTGGAATCTCTTAATAATTTCTTATAGATTATGAGATATATATTAACACATTTACAAATAGTCAAAAAAATTTTAATGAAAAATTTCAATTTATTCACTAACGCTTTTTATATTATGTTATATATTATAAAGCTGATTGGGTCAAATTATAGTTTTAAAAAATATAGATTTTAAATTCAATTTGTATTTTTATTTTACATAACTATAATGTAGTAGTCAAAAAAAAAATTTTTATAAAATTTAATTTTTTATATATAAACATATTAATATATTTTATGGTTTTAACATATTATTAAAAAATCAATAACAATTATTTATTGTTTGTACGACTAATACTCAATATTTTCCTATTTAACATACAATTATGATTATGGTCATATGAATTATAAAAATCGGTAAGGATTGATTGTTAAGTTTAGTTTATTAATTTATATTTCATGTCAATCTGAGTCAATATCCATGTTTATGTCATGTTTAACAAATAAATAATTATAAAAATTTGATAACGATTAGTTACGAAAATATTTTTAATTTCATTAGAACTTTTCTATAATAATTTTATATTTTATTTTTAACTTGGAAGTTATAGATCAAAGGAAACTACATAGTTTCTATAAGCCATATACACAAAATGAATTGTATAATAACTTCTTATAATTTGATAAAATAAAATAAATATTTTAAATTAAAAGGAATGGAAAATAACTCACTAAACGTATTATTAATACAAAAAAATACATACAAAACTATAGCTTATTATTAATGTAAATTAAATATAGATAAATAAATACTACTATTTTAAAATAAATATT